CACATCAAGATTCAGGTCCCCTAGTGAACAAGCAGGTTCACTCATTCAGCATCCCTCAAACCAGCGAAGAACAGCCAGTCCCTGTGGTTTCAATATCCATCAGGCAGCCCAGCAAAATAGTGGACGAGCTCCTTGTGCCAAGTTTCAAGCAACTTATTGAACGAAGGGAACAACATCGGGTTATGCAAGAAGGTCCTTGCCTTGTGGTTTTGTTTGACTGACTCTTACTGAATTAGCAAGCTCTGAAGTTGGAAGAGGGGTTTCCTGTTAGGTATCATGACTGTTGCACGCTGCGCATTGACTAGGCAATCCAAAAGTGAAATGCACTTCAGTATTGAGGATGAGATGGGGACAAGCATCTCATGTTCAATGATTCCGGACTTGCGCGCGGTATCGCGAATTCAAATATTGTTAGGATTATCTACCAAATCATGTCAAACCCAACATCTAGTTTGAATAGCGCATTGTTCTGATGTTGCTATTGCGTGAGATGTATTGCGCACGAGAGTCTCAGCTGATGGGGTGTTTTGGCATCTATGTTGGGAGCAGGCAGAGTAAGATGTCATCCTTTTGGCACGTTTCAGCTGCCTGAGGTGCATAATGACATGCCACTGTACAACCACATGCAGCGACCCCATCCGATCCATTGTAGCTTTCGCCTGGCTTGCTTCTTTTCGCTTAGATCCTTCTTCACCCACAATCCAATACCGAGGGTACTGGAGGTGTACAAAATGTTTGACTAGCTGGATGAGTTGTCAGCCAACGGCTTTCCAATTTAGGACCGACGAGATCATGAGGAGCTTTTGCATTCCAATTCAAATTTGCTTTTGCTCCTATTCCCCTTCCTTGCGGCACAGCGATTGAAACCACGCTCCCTGGCCGGCCTGCTCCAAGCTGATGAACAGAGGTTGTGCTCTCAGCCAGCTGAACAAACAGACATGCGGGCAACAAGCACACGTGCAGTTTTCAAAGATTGCCTTTCTTGCGGCCCTACGTGACATTTAGTTCCGCTTTAAGGTTCTGTGAAGCTCTCCACATGATGCAGCACAACTTTCAGGCATTGCTGCAGAGGACTTATGAATTCCCGAGATACTAGTTGCGGAAGTTAATTAACACAACTACGTGTGTACAATTGACAAAGGTTTGGTTCAAGCACCAGCTCCGGTTCTTGTGGCATGGCATTGTTCTTATTCAGCCAAGTGGAGATTGAAAGCCTTCGCCAACCAGGCAACGCTGCAAGGCAGTAGAGAGAGGGAGAGAGAGAGAAAGAGAGAGAATCAGCAAGATCAGCATTGTGCAGATTCAGTTCCCACTCTATTGCACCTGCCCAGCCATACTTTTTACTTCAACATATAAACTCTATCCGTGTTCTAGAGCTGGCTAAACGCCTGCCGACAATTGACATAAAAGTCGACTGGCTTGACTCATGCCGCACCCTTAAAATGCTTGACTGCCGCTGGAGGTAACACCAGGGTCGAAGCGAAGGCGAGCAAAGCCGGGGCTGCTTGGGAGTCCCTCGGTGCATCTCGGCGCCCATGACATAGTGCCATGTTGCTGGAGAGCATCAGCCTGCTGCTAACAGGCTTAGGCGCGGGCAGATGGGATTTGCTACTGGTTCTGAATTGAATTCATTGATCATTGCCCGTGGCGTACCCTGCATGCGCTTGGACTGTAATTTCGGCAGCTTTTGGTCAACAACGTGGCGCTGCTAGACAAATCAGGAGCTCGTTTTTGCACTGAATCATCGGACGCGCAGTTCGATTTATTGATCAGCGATCAATGGCGGGGTATCTTCTGAATTGCAGTTACATGCACCCAATGTGTCCTGCCAAGGCTTCTAAGTCAAGTTTGTATATTGCGGTGCAAACTGGGTTCCAGCCAAAGCTCCAGCTTGCTTCCACCCTCTAGCCAAAGGCAGCATTTCAGTCACAGGGCTCGTGGGGCCTTGATCTGCGAGCTGCTTAAGTTGAAGCTTGGGAAAACGTAAATGGTCGCACCTTGCGGTGCCTAGGAAGTCACTTTCCCATGACTTCACTATGACCCTGGCTTATCGGAGAATCATCAGTTTATGAGTGGAGGGATGTCACGAGCATGCACAGATTCCTGACAGCTCAACGTGGGCCAAAACTGTTCTTTTGATCGTTATGATATTTGTTGTTCCGTTTTGTTTGTGGCTTTTCTTTAAAGATCCTTGGCAGCTTGATCACTTTTTTTTTGTTTCTTGCTCAGTTAGGGAATCGCACATGGCTTCACTTGCTGGCATACTAGTATAAAGGAAATCTCTTGCTCCCAACCGCCAAACCCATGGTCTGGCCACTGCAAGGACTCACGATGTTGAGGTGTCACGTAGCAATTTGGTTGTACATATCATTTTTTGTGATGCGCCTTTGATCTTGTGCCTTTTGACGCTCCAAGTATACACCATATGAAGATAGCATATTTGTCCGTTGGTTATTGCTTACTGGGGCCGCACACTTGCTTTCTTGCTGGTGTTAGGTAGCTTTCTGGCATTCGGGCCCTACCATGACGACCGCACCTGGAACCTCATGCGGAACAGCGCCAATTTGGAACGCATCCAGGTTCCTTTGGAGGAGCTGCGCACTTGCGCGCATGTCTGTTTGTGTAAGGTTTCGGGTCGCTCGCGAAGTGGAACCTGTGCCGTTTTGTAAAGGGTGTGCGACAGATGTAGACCTTATGCTAGCCCTGGGTGAACCTCTCGATGCACCGTGACGATGCCGCTAGCCAAATACCTCCTTGTGGTGCTCCCGTCCTTGGACCTTTTGATGATCACCCAAACAGCGAGTGACCTATGCACATGTCGCAAGGAGCCCAGCCACTTCGGCCTCTACATGCTCTCCTCTTCCAAGCGGCCTGCGCCACCTGCGCCAGCCGTGCTGTTTGTGCCGGGCCATGGGGGGTGCGGGCGCCTGGGAGGTTCCGCTCTCGGGGTGGATGGACTTAGTGGGCCGGTGAAAGCTGGTCTGTTTGAAACCTGAAGCAGGTCGCAGCGAGACAGGTCTGATTGTTCGAATCAACGAGGGCAATTTACTGTCGCTTTCCAGTCTGTATAAGACCACGAGGCCAGCAGACATAAGCAGGTCATTTTGAATCCACACCGCAGGCTGCGTATATCGCCGGCAATCGTCTTGACACATGGCAGTAGGGCGCCTACTGGGCACACATGTTCCTTCCGAAAGGGAGCCACGAGGAGAGCATAAGACGCTTTCGCCGAAGATTTGCTTTCATTGCTGCAGGTCCTGGAAGCAAGGCATTAACCTTTGCGCTTACCTGGCCAAGAAGGATGCCCTCCACTACTACGCTGCAGACTTCCATGCGTGCTTTGGACTCATGGGCGAGCGGGACGAACCAGATGAGTTGCCGTGAGACTCTAAGTTGACCGTTTTCTCCGAAATCGGTTTGACATGACTCTGTCTAGTGAGTTTAAAGCTTTGGCAAGTCCAACAATAAAGGCCGCGGCTCGACTCTGCATCATATATCTCGGAGCATGATGGACTAGTCCCCAAGGACAGCTTTGTGAATGTTGGCATAGATACATCTTATTGTTTTTGAATTTGGAATAAAGTTTTTTGCCCAACTGCTGAAAGCTTTGGCGTCTCAGCCCAGATAGGCTCTGGGGTAGCCCTGAGGTAAGGTTCCACGAGGGTTCCACCAGGGTTCCACCAGGGTTCCACCAGGGTTCCACCAGGGTTCCACCAGGGTTCACGAGGGCTGCGGGGTGGTGCGAGCACTAAAAAGAGCACCGCATGCTGTTGGGGATATCACCTGAGCTTGTTTGCTCGCGCAACCATCAAAGGGTGACCCCTGTGCCGACTTTAGGTGGGTTGATCGCAATCCACTCGTGGTTTGTTACAACTTTCATTTCATTGGCCCAAGCAACCCTATGCCGGCCTTCGGTCAAACAACTCGTTGTTATTTTTGGAGTTTTTCAGTTTGCGCAACCTTCAAAAGGTGAACCCTTTGCGCACTTTGGGTCATCCTGGAAAGCTTAGGTTTTTTCTGCGATTTTCACTTTGCTTGCGCAACCCTATGTGCCTCAACCAACTTGTTCTTCTTTTTGTTGGTAACGTTTTTGCCCGAGCAACCCTCAAAAGGTGAACCCTGAGAGAAGGAGAAGGAGAAGGAGAAAGCGAAAGGGACAGGGGAAGAGAAAGGGAAAGACAAAGAGAGAAAATAGAGAGAGAGAGAGAGAGAGGGATAGAGAGAGAGAGAGAGGGATAGAGAGAGAGAGAGAGGGATAGAGAGAGAGAGAGAGAGAGAAAGAGAGAGAGAGAGAGAGAGAAAAGGAAGAAGGCGTGCTCCAAACTTTCGTTTTGTTTTGAAACTTCCCCCGGTTTCACCGGCTTTAGTGGTGTTGGTATGTCAACGTTCGATGCTTTGGGTTCAATCTAGAAGCACTAGGTTCTGGCGACAAAGCCTTGCATATTCTCACACACACACAGGCTGCAGCACATAAGGTGCACGAGCCCCGAGTTGCCTTTGACCGAGGTCTGCTTCGGCCTTGCACTCCTCGGTCGTGACCTCCCAGGCTCTCTTCACAGCGAAGGCACGGGTTGGCCTGTCACATGGATGGGGACCGTTCTTTTGTGTTGCAGGGATTTAGGATCTTTGCAACTTTGAGCAAGACTTGCTATGCCTTACAAACGATGGGACGTTCGTGGGCGGTTGGCGCATAGTGAACAAGTGTGATTGTTTTGTGTGTGGAATGCAGGGACAACACCGCATCCTTTAGTTTAGCCTTGGACACACCCAGTGAAGGAAGCATTGTGTTTTGTTTGAGCGCCACGGGGCCTTGGGATGGACGGGTTCCATGACACTTTGGCGTGCCGAGCGCCTTCCGGCAGAGCGCCAGAGCCAGGCACGCAGCCAGTGGGTCCACCATCAGGGGATGGAAGCCTACCAAGCGGCACGGAGTTCAAGCAACACAAATTGGAGGAACCGTGTACCTATGGTGGCCACGTGTCTTCACGAATTGGGGCTCGAAATGGATACCTCTTTTGTGCTTGGGAATTTTCTGCAAGTACGACGCCAACTTGCAGGCTATTGAACGCATCCGGAAGTTGCACTCAGGCAGGAACGTTGTTGAGCCGGATGTCACCCACAAAACGATGCTATTGTTTGTTCAGCAAAGTGTTTAAGATTGGACTAGGGCATCAAGAGCTTGTTGGTGCTTCCTTTTGACCTCTCGTGGTCAGGAAATCAGCAAGAGGGGTCCTATGCTCTTGCAGCTCAACAAGCTGAAGGGCATTTGGAGAACCCTCCTTGAGAATGAGTTCCAACTCTCCTGGGCAATTGTTCAACAACCCTGTTTGGTTGTTGGACTAGTTCTTGGTTGCACCATGTGTATTGCTGGGAGTGCAGACAAGGTCAGTTTTGCTCATGCTGACCCAAGTCATCGAGTCTCAAATGGAGAAGGCATACCTATCCAGGTTTTCAGTGTCGCGGGGCATGTGCTGACAGCAAAATGGCCGTGTCATTTGGAACTCAAACTCGCATGGCTCCAGGCCAATGTCCGTCCAAACTCCAGACGGAAAACACACATAGAAAGCAGACCTCCAGGTCCGCTGGTGCTGCTGGGCCACTCCATGGGTGGGATCGTGGCCTTGCGGGCCATAGCAATGGGAGCAGCAAGGCAGGGGCTGCGGATATCCAACTGTTGAAGCCTCACAAGCAACGCATTTCACTCGAGGACAGCCATCAATTTGTTTAGATACATGAAGAGTCCTGGCAACTCCACTTTCATTTCTGTTTCTTTTGGGATTGGAAAGTGTAAGGGCTTCTTTGGGGAATACCCTCTTCCAGTCTTCCATTGGGCGTTGCTTGGTTCTGGTGACGCAGGCCGGATGCGGTCTTGCTGGTGTCGGCGCCCTTGCAGCCGCACCCTTTGCTGCTGGAACCCCGATTTCAGGCACACTTGGACTTCGAACTTGCCTTAAACCCTGTATTGTGAGGGTAGGGCTACGGGGCAAGCTGCCAGCTGATGCCGGAGTGGGGCGGTGCAAAGTATACTCCTCCATTAAATGAGAATAGACGCCAGCAAGGGACCTGCTATTGCATTTGTGGCATGGGCTCAGGCCACAATCTACAATCTGCAAAAGCAGATTGCTGTTGGTCTATGCCAAGTGAGAGTTCGACCAACATGACGGCCGCTGGGTTCGCGCACACGCTACGGTTGTGCTTTGCCTTTCGGGGACAAGCACCTTGAATAGCCTTTCGTCCCAGTCTCACCGTACTGAGCACCAGCGCAGCCCACAACGCCTGCAAGCTTGGATATTTGATTCTGATCCATGGAAGAGCTGCCGTCAATATACCGGCAAGCCTAACCGGTCTGGGAAAGGTTATATGACAGAAGCTGTTTGAGATATCAGAACGCAATGAAGCAGAAGCTCTTCACTGGAAGGCATGTGGCTTCAGTGGTTTTGTTTGTGTTTTTTGTCCTACTGCCTAAAACCCAATGCACCTGATCCCATTGAACGTGGGCTTTGGCTTGTACACTCTGAAACCATCTCTGTCATGTCGGAAATCCAGATGACGGATTCGCACCTTCACTTACTGATGTTGGCTCCATTTTCAGATGTTTCATCAAATGATAGGGTTGCAAGAGACTGCCTGAAAGCTGCTGATCTCCCAGCTTTTCTCCTGGAACCAAACCCGTAGAATTGCAGCCAGCCAGGCTGTCCAGCCGGTGAGCTTTAGCTGGGACTTGCGCTTGGTGTCAGTGTCAGGCCAGGACCAACCTCCATAACCTCACTGGTCCGTTGAGCCTTGAGATGTGAGGGCTTGAAGGCCCCAAGCTGCTGAGCATATATTTCAAGGGTACCCGTGACACCTGACGATGTATCTGAAGGATACTGAAGGGAGAACACACGTGTTTTTGTCGATTGCAGCAGAAGTGCCAGTGAAAGCGGACGTCTGAAGGTATTTCACGGTTGCTGCGGGACCTGCATTTTTGTCACACGGCTTAGTAAATGCTCATCCACAAAGCATGATGTGGAACCCGTTGCAAGGCGCAGTATATTGTGCGTAACATGTCGATGCTTCGTGATGTGTTCACATCGTGTTGGGCAGAGGCACGCCGCTTTCGGATAACCTACAGCACACCCAGTCATCTCCTAGGTCCTTACTGCATATTCAATGAAGCCAGTATTTGTCCCCTGAGCTGATGGAGGATTATGATACTGCTGGAGCTTCAAGATGTTCACAGAGGGTTCGACAGGGTGTGCTCCAGACAACCCACCCTATTGTGGGAACATAATGGCACACAAAGGCTTGTTGAGGGTCCAACGATGATTTGCCGCGAGGTGCAGTTATCGCGGCCAAAACATTTTCGATAAGTGTCATGTGGAATATCCCTAGATTCAGCTTTCCACGTCAGACTGCGTCCAGGCGGCCCCACGGATCCGCTGGTGCCCATGCACACGGCGAGGCCCAGGCCACACATTTGAGGGCTGATTCCCGCTGCCGAAATTTGGATTGTGGTGGGAATACGACCTTTGGCACTGATGATGAAAGCCGCGGTGTGGTTGGGGTGGAAATTCAATAGTTCTGCGGTTCCCAGCAACCAGCAACTAGGGATTTGATCGCACTGTGAGAAGAAAAACAAACTGTGTCAGAGCTCTCCGTGTCAAGCTTTGCAATGGCACAGTGAGAAAGAATTTGCTCCCCTTACAGCACTCAAGCTTGAAAATACTCGCGCTCCAAGGCAAACAAGGCATCGTGGCTTGCAAGGGTCCCTTGCCAAATTCATGCACAGGCACCTTCGTGCATTTGGAGTACCAGTTTATTGAAACAAAGTAGCCTGGGAGCTCGTTGACCTAGTCTGGAAGCAAACCATCCCATCCAGTCAATGGTTGCTCAGGTATCCTACTTGTTTGATGTTTGGGCTGTCCGTCGCAGGACAGCAACAACCCCGGAAGTTTTGAAGAACGCTGGCAGCATCCAGCCGCGGTCTTGCATGTTGAATTTGCTCCCTTGCCGGGCATTCACTTGTTTGCGATCATGGAACTGTGCCTAGTGACAAGAGTGTGCTGACCATGTGATTCATGAATAGAGACGTAAACCATGAGCACCTGAGGTTTCTGGCAAGAACAATCAGCACACACTCAACACGCTGAAGTGTTGCTAGCGCAGTTCAGCAGCCACATACTCATGGAGACAACTTCCAGCCTGGAACTTGATTTGACAAGAAACATATTGTGTTGATTGTGGAGTTGGAAGGGGTTTGATGCGCAAATGCCGGTCAGCACTTTTGCCTGCTTTTTGGGTTGCTATGGTTGCTCGAGTTGCTTCATGCAGGACGGGCGTATTCCAGCCCTTGCCAGGGGCTCGTCGGGTGCTAAGAGGCAACTTGAGGCTCAAGGGGCCAAAGCTGATGGACGACATAAGCCAGTCGGAACAAGGGCAAGAGCAAGGCACGATGCAAGTTACTGGCCATGTTGGGCACTTTTTCACGGTTATTCACATGGCTGGTTTGGTGCGTTATTTGAGTATTGATCGGCGAGCTTAGCGGCTTTCTGAACTTTACACTCAACATACGTGGAAAGGCCTGTTCGCGATTCAACAACAGCACGTATGTATGTGTCACGTCGTGTCATGCAAAAGGTAATGCTTGCTTCTCACTTTTCGATTTGGTGTCTTCGGCAGGGTGCCAGTGTCAGGTGACGTCTACGCGTCCTTCAGCCACGTGAATTTGCTCTTCTCACGGCACAGCCGCTTGGCCTCACCCAGAAAGGGCACGCCACCATTTGCCGGGCTGAGCAGGTGCTATGTAGCTGAGAAGCAACTCTGCTTTCCACCAATGAGTCAGCCATTCCCAGCAGAATGCCATGATTGCATAAAACCCTTCGCCTGCATTTGTTCAATACATGATATACTCCAGTTTGTTTCATCACCATGTTGTCTCGTGATTCTGCCATCAATTCCCATGCGGCTTGATGGAAAAAGGCAAATCATATCACACACTGTATTTTGCACGAGTGGAATGATTGCCGCAATCACCAGCATTGTTTCAAGGTGAATACTTGAGCGTGGTAGACAAATTTTGTGCGCTAAGCCAACAATGAGTTTCGATTCAGTCTTCATCTACATGCTTTGAACATAGTGAAATGATCGGCTCTCAAACTGCATTGGGCAAACCCTTGCCAAGGAATGGTTGTTGTCAGGGCAAAGCGTCTCAAGGCTAGCTGGATGAGGTAAGATTCACATGTGAAAGGGGTGAGCTTGAAAGTATCGCGCTTGTGGTTGTCAGCCACTGCAGAAGGTTTTTACATGAGGAAAGCAATTCTATGTTCTATTGCTTTCCATGTCAAGTCTTCATGAGAACTGCATTTGCAGGCGAGTGAAGTCTAGAGTCTAGAGTCTCACCGCTATCACGTAATGATTCCTGATCTTATGATCATCTTTTCCTTCCCTTAAAGTCTTACCTTTGTCCTCTCTTTGTATAAATCCAGAATGGATTAGTGAGGGACTGATACAATTATGACAGACACTTTTTCCTTTTTTTCAGCCGTCATTTCCTGAGTCTCTATGCGTTGGCGGGTTTTGGCCTTTCCAAGTTGTGGTGTGCAAGATACACCTTCCTTTATTCGGTGTGGGTGAGCATTGGGCAGGCGCAGGTCCTTTAGCAAAGTGTTAGAGCCACAGGAACACCTCTGCTCCTTGTGGCTGCCGCAGTTCAGCTTGGAAAAGGAAGCCATTCTGCTCTGAGTCCCTTTGTTGGCCGTTGTGAACCCCTACATGGTCAAAATTGACAAGTCTGGCGAGCAGCCTATTCTCAATGGTCAAGGCTTGGCTTCCACTGATTGTGGCAGATCTTTTACTGCCAGATCCGCTGCAGAAGGATGTTGCGCCACCGCGCCACCTAAGTTACAGTGCTTCAAGAATCGGCTTTGTTCACCCCACGTTGCACTGCGCGGGCGGGCTTGAGAGGATTTGTGTCGCTGCAGCGAGGTCTGCACTTCTTGGCGCAGCTGCTGCGGGGCTTGGCGAAGCGGGAGGAATTGAAATCGAGCCCCTGGCTCGGCTGCCCAGAAGGGATGGGATGTGTCAAGCCGAAGATCAGCTGTGCATGCTGTTTTTTTGGGTGGGTTCCTGCTTTTCGTTTGTCTTTGTTGGAGCCGTCCCAATATGACGGCTTAGCCATGCAACCTCCTCCACGTCTGAGCACCGCCGTTGAGGCAAAGTTCAATACATTCAGAAAGCAACACACGGGAAGAAAACACGCTGTGACAGCTATATAGTCGGATGTTAAGTGCTGAGCATTGAACCAGGCCAGTCTGAGAAGTGCTATGGACTTTTTTGGTTGTTAGAGTCAATGTCCTTGGCACACGTCGCTGCCGTTCACTGCTGTGATCTACTTCCCGATGCATGCTTCAGAGTTGACTAGATCGCAGAAATGGCTTTAGCTTCATTGTGTGAGGCGACAGCTTCTGAACTCTTCGACCTCGACACCTTTGCCAGCGCCGGAGGCAGTGAAGGGGATAGTCGCAGTTGTGTGGCAAGGCCGCAGTGACTGTGGGAGGCAAGAAGCCTCATGGACCGTGAGAAAAGGCAGCACTCAGCACTGCTGTGTCTGCCAGAAGCAACGGCACAGATGATCGCAGATGTGGCCATGTTGACGCAGTTTCATTAGAAGGATATCTCTCCTTGCCTGGGACGCTGAATTTTCTGCAGCTAGACTGTATTGCTGCATTTGCCTGTCATGTCTATGGAATAGGATTTGAGGTTTTGGCCATATAGCCGGTTTCCCAGCGATGGCGGTGGAAGCTCAACACAGAAGGGGCTGGTATGTGGAAAGTCCAGCTCTCCGGTGCGAAAACAGCCAGGGATCAGTTTGCCCCTTCTCACGCGCCTCTCATGAGAGCCCGGAAGGGCTCCTTTTTTTTGCAGTCAGGGTATGTCCGCGTTTCAATTGCAAACAGCCTTGACCGGGTGCATTTAGTCCGCACGGGCGCCAGGCCTTCAGCTCCCAGTCCATGGGTGGCGAGGCCGGATCCGAGTGTACCAACTTGGAGCACTTTGTTCACGCAACGAAGACTTCCAAGCTGAAAGCGTCGAGCAGATTCATTGAAGGGGTCCATGCTGAGCAATCAGCATGGGAAGAAAAAAAGGCGATTGCAAAGCATCGGTTTTGGCACGACCCACATGACGTGCTACAGACAATGCCTTCGGGGCCAATTCCGTGCCAGATCACATTTTTTCCAGGCTGTTTGCGCAAGGAAAGGTGCCCGAGTTCGATGATGATGATGATGATGATGATGATGATGATGATGATGATGATGATGATGATGATGATGATGATGAAGGTGCCCGAGTTCGAGATTGAATTCACGCACTGGACTCGCTCCAGAGCATCATCCATACGATCGTCATGAAGGAGAATCCGGTTCATAAGCGTGCAGGCTGATGGTAATCTCCAGAAACCCAGTAGATAAGGCGTACTTATCAGTGAACACGACTGAGATCAATTGGGAAGGGTCCTGGTGATCTTCCAGCTGAGATTCGGGCTGCTCAACATAGTGAGCCAGCTGAGAGCAAGACGAGCCTCAGAGACGATGTTCCTTCACAACTTCACATGCCGCTTTGCCAAATTTGCGTGAGTGGCTAGCAGTTCGAGGGATTAAATCAGGAGTGCGCTTGGGTCAGGGAGTGAATCCGAGGTCATAAACCGTGAACATACACGTGCGCACACATGTTCATACGAAAGGTGATAGGTGCCATGCTTGTTGCAGCGTTGATATGACGGACGCTGCGAGAGTAGCTTTCAAAGTTTCTGTGCTAATTTATTTTTTGTGCCTTGACTACATTGCTACTGAGCAGTATCTTCATCCAGTTGTATCGGGCACAAGCATCAGCATAACGTGGTCATTCAAGATCACAGGACGTGAAGTTAAACTGCTAAGGTGCAGGTCAGGCTTTTTGAGCTTCAGAGGGGCTTCAATGCGTCGAAGCGTTTGGTTTGACTCTCATCTGTACTTGAATGCAACTCTTGGCACTCCTCCCATGCAGCTTTGCTATGCGGCGCTGCATGTCAAAAACGGCCTCAAGCCCCCATCAGTTCACGCCGTCCTGCAGTAGCCACAGAGGGTGATGCGCACCGGATCGCCCCCCGCGCAGCACATCAACGAATGGTAGTGACCCAGCCCCCGGTAGAAGATGGGTCCCGGAAGGCTAGTCACCAGCCTCCTGAAGTCCGGGGTGCAGCACCTTGGGCACGGAAGCATCTCGTGAATCCGCGTGGCGTGTCGCAGCCCGTAGCAATCCATGAAGGTGTGGTACCTTTCTCCCTGGTCGGTCCTATACAACAGCGGTACCATAGGCAGGTCTCCATCTCCTGGCAAAACCTCCTCAGCCTCCGGTTCCGGCTCCAACTGCTGTCTCGGTCTCTGATTTGCCTCTCGCCCTTTTCCGTCCCCCTTTCGTTTGGGCATCGGCTTGGACTTCGGCTTGGGCGTGGCTCCCAAGCGCCTGCTCCCTCCACCTCCGGTAGAAGATGCACGTTGTGGTGTAGCTCCTCCTTCGCCCCATGACATACTCCTAAACGTAGGCCCACCTCCGGTAGAAGACGCACTTCCCGAGGTCCCCTCTCCGTTTCTGCCCACTGTCCTTCTGATTGTCGATGAGGTCTCCTCAATCACAACCTCTTCCTCTTCCTCATCTTCGTGCGGCTCCGGCACCCCGCCTGATCTCATGGCTCTGATCCGGGGCATGACTGCCCTTTGACAGACCAGTTCCACCAGCTTGTACAGGATGATGGACATGATGCTCACAACCGTCATCAGGACCTTCAAGGTGTCTGCCGGCTCTTCTTCTCCTTCAACTTCCATCTTTTCCTTCACCGCCTGGACCTTCGTAATCATGCTCGCGAGGGTCATCACCTTGACCATGGCCGTTATACTCGCCTCCTGGGTGTTCTCCTGACCCCCGTTGGTTTCTTCCATGACTTCCTCCAAAGGCTCTAGCCTCCATAGTCGACGCAAATCATCGATGCGCCTTCCAGTGAGGGCCTTGGTCCCGAGGTCCGCGAGCATTGTTTCTCCCATCACGTGGTGGATGGACCAGCTCTCATCCATGAGCCTCTACCTCAAATTGAACGCTCTGACCCGCAGATGCCTTGTTCTCCAGCTCCCGCCAGCCTCTGACGTGATGGCTATAGCCGCCGAGCTGTCAGATAGCAGCTGCCTCTTGTACGTGCAGCCCATCGCCTCCTCAATCTCCGAGATCAGAGCTTCCACGCTCTCGCCCATGATGATACCCTCCAGGCACTCCATGAGCTCCGCCTCTCCGGTCGACAACGTAGGGCTGCTTTGCCTCGAGCTCTTCCACGCCAGTTCCATAGCACCACCACCGATCCATGGCTCAGTCCACCTCCTGGAGCAAATGATGCGTCCGTGTAGACCTCCATCTTCCGCTCAGCAATTCCTGTAGCTCCCGCATTCATCTCCCGGTCGAACCACAGGCCCATATCTATGGTCTTCAGGAGATACTTCCTGACCTGTGCTGCTATCTCCAATGCCCACCTGGGCGCTCTCGTCACCGCCGATGACATCCGGCTCGTCGCAAACATGAGGTCGGGCCTTGTCTTCGTAGTCAGCCACAACACTTCTCCCACGGCCTTCTGTGCGGCTTGTACCTCATGCGGCAAGATGTTCGGCTCCTCGGGCATCTCCGTCATGTCCTTGGCGATGGGGATCTGATCCCCGACCCATAGCCACCGTCCTTATATCGACTGAGAATCTCTTTCGTGTAGGACGATTGCCCAAGGTGATACCCACGTTCTGTCCGGCTTATATCCATGACCTTTTCTCCCTTCCTGACGAACTCCGGGACGCTCGTCTCCCACTTCCGCTGGATCACCTTGCACAGCTCTCGTAGGATTCCTCCTGTCGAGTAGGCCAAGATGTCGTCCACATAGATCGCCATCAGACCCATGAGCTCGCCGTGTTCGTTCTCCCAGTCTCGTCCCCTCATAATCTTCCAGACATTCGGGTCCGAGACCGTCTGAGCCAACCAGTAGCAACCGCCTCCTTCTTCCCATCTCATTTCTCGCATGTTCTGGTCCCGAAAGACTGACCACCTCCTCGGCGATTGGCGAAGCCCATACAGGGCCTTATCCACCGCCCAGTACTCATCCTTCTTGCACAAGGCCAGGGAGATGAGGATGGAGGGAGGTTTCATCAGCAGTACTTTCTTCGGCTCGCCCTCTGTCTCCTTTTCCTGTAGCGGAGCATTGAGGAAGGCGGTCTTGATATCCAGGACCATTGCCTCCCAATCTTGCTCAGCCGCGTACTTCGTGATCGTCCTGATAGAGATCGTATCTGATCCCCCAGCGTACAGCGACTCGTCGGAGTCCTTGCCTCCTCCCTCCGCGTAGTTCCCGCAGATAACGATCCTGCACTTCTTCTTGCCATTGGGCGCCTTCACCGTAGGAACCATCTTGCCAGGCAGAATGTCCACCTTGTAGTCCGGGCTCCCAAGAAGCACCCGCGCCTCCTCGTTCGTGACTCTCCTCACTGCTTGCTTCCCGTCCAAGAGCGAGTCCACCTCGGCTTTAATCGCTGGCAGCCACTCCTCTTTGTTCTTGATCACCTCCGCGTGACTGGCAATTCGGGTCTGGAGAACTTGTTTCTCTTCACCCATCACTTCCTCCACCAGAGCCTCCTCCGCCAGCTTCATTTCCTTGATCTTGACCGCCGTGATTCCCAAGACTTCACCACTGTCCTGGTCCATGGCTTCCATCTCCTCTTCGATCACCGTCCGAAGCGCGCGGAGGTCACCGAGCTCCCCGTCCTTTTCCTCTCCCACATGGGTTTTCCCCCTGATCCTTCTCCGCGGATGATGCGGTTCAGCCTCCTCCGGTAGTAGTCGATCTTCTGGTTCCACCACTCCTCTCACTACTCGGGAGACCACCTCACTCTTGCCATCCTCCCTCAGGATTCCATGCCCGCTCGTGACCTCCTTTACCACGGCCAAGTAGCGCGCCTTCTCGTAGGTAGGCCCAAATGGATCCTGAGTTCTCTTCCACGACCTCCTCGGGACCCAGACCTCCTCCCCCAAATGCCGCTGGCATCAGCTCGTTCCGCTGCCTTTTCTCTTCGGCCACCACTGCATACCGAGCTGCCATCGGCCAAAACTTCACATCCATTTTTGCTCCCTTCAACAGCCTCCTCATACGGCTCTTCAGACTGCCGATGCAGGCTTCAGCACGTCCGCTTTCCTGAGGCGAATCTGCACTCGTCGTGGTCTTCTCGATCTCCCTCACCAGGCACCATTTCTTCAGGTCGTGGTTCAGGAACTCTTTTCCCCGGTCGGTGTGCAATCTCTGGACCGGGTATCCTTCTCTCTTCAACTGGATGTAGATGTCCTGTAGCCCTTGAAGCACCGTCTTCGCCTTCTTGTCGGGCAGGGAGACAGCCTTGACAAGCTTTGGCTCCCCACACTCCTTTTTGGCCCGGTCCTCCGGATCCTCCTCCTGGCCGTCTCCATCCATTTCCCCCTTCTCACATTCCGGGTCGCCCTCCAGATCATCCAGCTCACCTTTCTCGCACGCTGGATCATCATCCTCTGCTTTCTTCTCCTCCAGGACTGGCAAGTCCTCTCCATCTTCCTCCTTCTCTTTGCCGTCGAAGAACTTCTTCTGGTCCTCCTCCGCAGGCCAAGTGAATGAACCGATGAGGAAGTACTTCTGGGTCGCATCCCCAACGTCCTTTCCGGCCCGGTATGGGCCACTCAAGACCGCCGCGTCGGGATAAGCAATTTTTGCGTGTCGCTTCCCCCTTGCTGACGCCTCCTGACATACTCGGCAGTCCCGACGAAATGGTACATGTCCGTGGCGGACGTGCTCAAACCAGCTTAGCTTCTTGACATGAGCTGGTCGTCCGAAGACCTCCTGTTGCAGAGATCGCGCAACCTCTCTCATGAATCCCGGGGCCCACCTTGACAAAGCCGCCGAGTCTGCCACCGCCGCCGTCTCTCTGGTAGATGCCGATGAGGATCCTCGTGGCGGCAAATCCACCTCCAAGTCCGTGGCAATGCGCGTCGGCTTCACCGCCAACCCGCCGTAGTCGCCCTGCTTGAAGCTGTGCTCCAGTAGCCCGTGTTGATCTCGAAAGGCCGTGTAATTCCTGGTCCTCCACCATGATCCGCACTCCGGCACGTACCCCGGCGCCTCCGGCTGCTCAAGCAAAAACGCGACCTTTGATCTGGCCGTCGTTGTCATCTTCCTGGCCCGTCGAGCCTCCTCCGCCGCACAGTACAGCATCACCATGCGGTAGAGCAGCACATCGTCCTCGAAGACTTGCTTCTTCTCCTCCTCGTCCAGCCAAGGAAAGCCAAACCAATTCTCCGGCTCCACCCCCCTCACTGGCCTTGGCCTCCCAGCTGGCAGCGGGTAGTGTCTCAGCACGCTCCGAGTCCTGCAGTTGGGGCCACCCACCACTCCAAGGATGTTCCCGTCCAAGGCTGCCCTCAAGAGAGAAGGGTATAGCGGGCCGCTCAGCATGTCGTGGTTGTCCCCTCTCTTGAGGTCGATCTCCACCAGCCTTGTAGTGTCGCCTCCAACCTCCTTCAGGGCCCTTTGCAGCGTGTAGCCATCACTCTCGCCCGCATACAGGTGAAGGACAAACCCGCGCTTCATTCTTTTTCTCCTCCTCCGATTCAATGGGATCCCTTCAGGTCGCTCGCTGGCTCGCTCACGACGTTGGCCATCACCTCAGCTGGTACCCCATCGAACACCCGCTCTCTTCTCGCCAGCGCCTCCATGACGCCCATCTCTCCCCTCGAGGTTGCCGAAGATGACCTCAATCTCGCACCTCCTGCAACCTCCACTTGCTCCAACATGTCGATGAAGCACAAGGCTAGATCCCGATCCACCTCCGGGCACCCAGCGTTCATCCGCACCGGGATCTCCCCCAACGTAGGATGCTTCATCTGGCAGGCTCCCCAGGAAGTCCAGGTGACCTCACAGTCCAGCTTGTCCACCAAGAGTCCCAAGGGCACTATCGGCTGCACGCCCGCCTCCTCATGGATGATGACCTTCCCCTGGGTCATCAAGAGCTCCTTTCGCTGGCCTCCGGCCAACTCCACCACTATCGTCTCCATGTCCTTCGGGTCGTCACCTTCTCTCATGCCTCTCCTGGCATGGGTTGCCCCCGAATCCAGTAGGCCCATCTCGTTCCGAAAGTCGATCTTCGAGATCTTGACCTCCCCAAACTTCCGAATCTTCATCCCATTCAGCTGCTTCTGAAGATCCTCCAACTTGGCGTCCCTGCCGATCTTGCTTGTCGAGGCCACCGTCAAAGATCTGAGCATCTTCCCGGCTTTCCAAGACGTTCTGCAAGGCGTCTGCCTCTCCTTTTGCTCCTTTCGGCGAGACTTCCTCTTGCCCGCCCAAGCTTTTCTGCGCTTCTCCCTTTTCGCATGCCGATGACGTGGCGTTCTCCGTCTCCACCTTTGCAACGTTTGGAGCGCCCGGCTTGAAGTCCTTCTTCACCGCTTGCTCAGAGGTGGCCTTCCTCGAGCAGTCCTTCGCAAAGTGGCTCGTAGCGCCACACACACACATAGCACCTGGAACGTCCGTCTCGGGCTTCATGGCCAAAGGTACATTGTGCTCCCCTCCTGCACCCTTGATCTGTGAGGAAGAACCGGCAGGGCTTCTTCTCCTTGACGAAATCATCCTTGCCCCCCTTATCCTCCGCGTAGGTGCCCTCGATCTTCTTCGCCTTTATCTCTCCCGGGGCCGACTTCTTCTCCGTGTGAACCAACTGCTCCAGCTCCGACAAGAGGTGCTCACAATACACCCCAATCGTGGCGTAGGTCGGAACGGTGTCCACCTGCAGCTGCGACTTCGCCAGGTTAGTCTTAAAGTTCAGATCCCGGTTCCCCTCCAGCACCTTCCTCGTCAGCCTGTGAAGGCCTCTGTTCAACACCGAGGAATCGGGGAGCGAAACTCCAATTTCCTCCGCGCGTCTCTTCCACCTCATCCATCGCCTGATGCCCGTGACCGCGGCCTGGATGTTGGTTGCCTCTCCCGGCTGCTCCAGGTTGCGCAGGATTCCCGCCCGCTCTGCTATACCGCCAGGCTGGTACATCATCATCAGCCAGCACACCAAGGAGAAGGCGTTGAGGCTTTTCGTAGCCACGACCTCGTCCTTCACCGCATCCGGAACCGCCTTGATCAGAAGGGTGACCGCTTTCCGCTCCACTCGTCTCCACCTTGAGCTTTGCGATTCCCCCACCTTTGGTACCATAGTGAGGCGCTTAAGCGGTGCCTCCTGCATGTAGTCGCCATACCACCGCTTTGCTTCCTGCAGAACCAGCTCCCACCATTCCTGGCTCGTCTCCGACAAATCTGACATCGCCGGAGTGATCAACGTCAACCAGTCCTGCAAGTCAATTGAGCTGGTTTCCGCATTGAGCTCCGCCAGCATCGGTAACTCCACCGTACCAGCCTTGACCACCTCCACCGACTCCTCATCGGTGCCCTTGGAGCCACCCGCAAGGAGCTTCTTCTGGATCTGCTGCATGCCCTTCCATAAGCTTCAGGATGGCCAAATGGTCGCCCTTCTCATCGTCCCGAATCATCTCCGAGGACTCCCGCTTCTCGTCCTCCTCGACCTTGCCGTTGGGCGGGTCCGGCGTCGTGTAGGTCTCCCCCGAACCGTTCCCGCCTTCAACTGCCTTCAACCTCTTGTTCTTCTGCGTGAGCCGCTTGATCTCCGACCTCATGGAGTCCACCTCTCTCGGCCTCTGAGATCTACCGTCCTCCGCTCCCACATCCAGAAGCTGAGGCTGCTCCCGGGGCAGGAATTCCGGCCGCCTCAACGGAGGATCTCTCATCTCCCCCAAGTTCACCAGACTGCCAGGTCGATCCCAGCGCTTCAAATACTCCAGCTGCTCCTGGGTGAAGAGGCCCATAGCTTTCCGGTTGTCCTGCTGGTCCTCGAAGATCCTGATCACCTCCTTGTCGTGGTTCAGCCGCCCCTGGTGTTGCCCACGGGTTCCTCGATGCCGTAGACCACAGTTTTCTCTGCACAAGTGACGAATTTGGGGTCCCTGGTACCTGCTCCTCGGCCATTTCACGACCCGCTCCATCACCACCCGATCCGACTCCAGCTGGTCGAGCTCTGGTCGCGGCTGACCCTTTTCCACTGCCCGGCGGCTTCACCACCATCTCCTGTCCAATCAACTCCAACCCAGGTGCCGGCTGCACGTTCTCCCCCGGGGCAGGTGCCCTCTGCGTTCCCTCCCCCGGCTCCTGTTCTTCATGAGGATCTCCATCCTCCACCGCTAGAGGTTCTCCTTCTCCACCATCGCCTCCAGCTCCTTCTGCGCCTTGAGCTCCTAACTGAGCATTGCGGCGCCTGGACCTCATGTCCTTTCAGCTACCTTGGGCTCATAACCTGCTAAGGTGCAGGTCAGGCTTTTTGAGCTTCAAAGGGGCTTCAATGCGTCGAAGCGTTTGGTTTGACTCTCATCTGTACTTGAATGCAACTCTTGGCATAAACAATTTACTAAAGCAACAAACTATTGCCGTTCACCGCTTTGCTGCTACTTTTCTTCGCTTTTGGCAATACATTATTATTTTTGCTGGAAGTGGCCAGTGACCTCTGCTTCGATGGCCAGGCGGTCCCATTGAGCCGGCGCAGGCCCTGGACGCGAAATGGACAAACAGCTTCCACAGACTTTGTCGATATGCACATGTTTACAATGTGTGGACACAACTTGAATGAGCTGACAGCATGGGGTCAACAAAGCCATCTCACCACTGACCCGGTGCTTTTCTTGACGATCTTCTTTAGCATACCGCATTGCCTTGGCCCGTCTGCGGAGCGTGGCCAAGGCTGGATCAGACACAGCTCTTTCCGAGGAGCGGAGGTGCGGTGCATATGAGAGCCGTCGTTCGGTCAGCTCATGACAGCACTTCCAATGGGAAACAATGGGCATCCAGAACAGAACCTTGTGCATGTCAATCGAGACATGTTAGAAGCTGATTTTTTCTAAACTCTTGCAGGGACCCCATTTAATTCGCACTGGGCATGCATGCTTTCAGGCATTCATGTTGTTTTGGTTTCGGATGTTCATGCATGCACAGCTATGCTGTTGACAATTCTGCACATTTTGCACCCCTCCTAGGTGTGTTTAGCTTTCTGCTCATGGAGGACAGGGATCCGTTTGTGCGAGGTTAGATTGCTGACAATTGCTGGCGTTCTAAGCACTAGCATAGCTGAGTTGATCATGATTGACGCTGAGATGATACCTGCTGATGGCAGTTGATTTCCGAGTCGTACCTGGCGACGTAGCTCTGATTCCGAAGCAGAACAGAAACAGCACCCAGCTGTTCCTTTCGAATGTGAGGAGCCGAAGCCGATACGCCGGCAGCCTGAGAGCAGCACACGAGGGGAGGCGAGAGGGCCGCGACATGTCGCGCGAAGCGAGGGATTAGATCAGATACCCCAAAAGCCTGGTAGCGGAATTGCGTACTTTGCGGATCAAACTGCCCATGCAGAGCCGACAGCAAGGAAAACGACGGGCAAGAAGATTGACGTGTCATTTTCAATCAGCTCGATGCCTTTGAAGTGCTTCGCTGCAGAACATCGCCAGCACTTTGCCGTTGTTTCAAAGCCTGCTCCATAGACAAGCAAGATGCTTGCAACATAGGGATCCGTCAAGTCAGCACAGACAAGAAGCCGATATATTCTGCACATGATCGACACACACACACACACATAGACATATACATGTATTGTACTTTCCACGTTCATCCAATACAATTAAGCACATAATATATATATATATATAAATAAATATATATATATACACATACAATTATATTCATTGACTACAGTTATATTTTACTATTCCGAGCCCATGGCAGCTCGCGCCTTCTTGCTCAACTGCGGCCGTTCCATCCCGGCGGTGGGCCTTGGGCTTTGGAAGGTGGCTCCTGACGCTGCGGGCAGCTGCGTGAGGGAAGCGCTTCGGATCGGCTACAGACACATCGACAGCGCATATATTTACTGGAACGAGGCGGAAGTCGGTCGGGCACTCAGCGCATTGGTCGGCTGCGGGCAGAAAGTCCCGCGGGAGGAGCTGTGGGTGACCTCGAAGCTGTGGAACACCCACCATGATCCGTCTCTGGTGGAAACTGCGTGCAAGAGCTCCCTACAGAAGATGGGCCTGGACTATTTTGACCTCTACCTGCTTCATCACCCTTATGCCTTCAAACCCCAGCCGCCCGGCGGCAATGATTTTCCACTGGACCCGGACGGCTTCCCTGCCTTTGCGGACATCCCTCTGACAAGCACGTGGGCGGCCATGGAGGGTCTTGTATCCCAAGGGCTTGTCGGCAGCATCGGCGTGTCAAACTGCGACGCCACCCAGCTCACCACCATTCTTGATTCGTGCTCCATCCGCCCATCTGTTAACCAGGTGGAGTGCCACCCGTATGCAGACCAGTCTGCTCTCCAGGCCTTTTGCCGCCAGCAGGGCATTCTCATCACGGCCTTCAGTGCCCTTGGCTCTGCCGACTCGCCCTGGCGCCAGCCTGGGGACCCGCACCTTCTGTCCGATCCTGTCGTCTGCGGCATCGCTTCCAGTGTCGGGAAGACTGCTGCACAGGTGGGGACGGTGGGGAGAAGTTAAATTCCTGGTAGTGAGCGATTGTAAAAGGAATTCCCAAGCAGAAATAGATGGAGCCGCTCTTACAATTCCGTTCCGTATTTGGTTTTGGGTATAGGATTTTATTCTTGGGGTTTTTGCTGTGACTCAGGTTCTCCTCAGGTATAACATCCAGCTTGGCAATGCGGTCATTACCAAGAGCATCCACCCAGACCGCCTCGCGTCGAATTTGGAGGCGCTCGGGGGCTGGGAGCTCTCGGAAGAGCACATGTCGAAGCTTCGAGGCCTCGCTGCAAGGGCCTACCGCTTTGGCAAGGTGCCGTGCTCTACCGAACGGCCGGCGTCGTGTGTGTATGACTGGGACGAGCTTGTGCGCCGGGGATGCCACTGGCTGTTTATGAGCCCGAAGGCATATGCGGGACAGCGCGGGAACGTGAAGGATTACCTGGACTTGCATCACCATGGGTAGACTAGAGATCCTGAGGCACACTTCAAAGGGGCCCTGTGCCTGTACCTCTAGGACTCTAGGGATGGTTTAAGGATGAGCTGAAAGCAAGCTCAGAGTAAGCCATCAAAGAAGAAGGCTCAGAAGAGTTGGTAGTATTACTGACATCCACAGGTAAGTCCTTGGATATGCTGCAAGAAGGAAATGCCTCCCTTCTTCCGCCCCTTTGTTGGAGCATACTTCTCCTTTGATTCGCAGGTGAACCCCGGGCAACCTGAAGAGACAGTTGGCTTCAAACCAATGAAGCTGAAGGTAGGCCGGGTACCTGTAATTTTGAAATCTCAGTCTCCTGTTTTCCAGACAGTGCTCAGAGAGACCTCACCAATTGGAGTTGGATGTGTCCCAGCGCACAAACTTGTGCCTTTGCACGCGACAGCTCGGTAATTAGATCTTTCGAAGAGCCAAATCCCGAGGCAGGGGCTGACCTTTACAAATCAAGAGAACGAACTCAGGCTTTTGCTTTCAAACATTGGACACGTTTGGTGTTTCCAAAAGCAATGCGACCGCAATGCAGGAAAGGAACCTTTGCGTGAGACCATAACACGGGTACGGACCCCACTTCCAAGAGAAGTCCGTGGGAGTTATAGGCCCGTCTCATTTTTGTATACAAAGGTATAGCTATTACCTGGGTGTCTGATAGAGAAGTAGGATAAAGGATTCCCACAGGCACTCCAGGGCTTCGAGAGCTTGACAGCCGGCGTTCCATGTGTGAGACAGGGCTGGCATAATTCAGTTCAGTGGTTTCAGACATTTTCTTCCCCCTCTCAAATTGTATGTTGTTTTGGCTTTTGGCTTCAACAAGTTTAGAGGGCTTCTCCACAGTCCACTGTTACCCAAGTCAATTCAACGCATGGCTGAATCGTGCCGAACTGGACGCGCAGACCTTTGACCCCGCAGACCGGCTGAATTGCAGTGAAGCTGCCTGGCACTCAAGGCCGTGGCTCAAATTGTTGCTGTAGCAGCGGGCTTTTAACAAACAGTCACTGATGGGCACATTGTTTCATTGGTAGTCACCAACACAAGAAGTGCTTGATTTGCAAGTTGCGGGTCTTTCGCGGGATTGAGCATAAACACACTTTGCAATCAACACTCTGAGCATCTCTCAAGAGTCTCAAATAGTGATAGTGAACAGTGACAGTGGTAGTGTGGTGATACTGATGTGTTCCCCCGCCTGTTTTTCAATACCGGGCATTCGCGAGGCAGCGGAGAAAGGTGCACCCGAGAAATGGTTCTCCCTTCCGACATGCAGAAATGAACGCAAAGACTCCGAAACTTGACCCTATTGCGAAGCCGCGTTTGTTTGGACCTTTCTCGGGTGAAGGCCATCCATCAAGAAATGTGTTGAAGTCAAGCAATGCATCGCGATATACCACGAGACATCCCAGTGAGCTCGACTTCGCATGTCCGAGGTGCTGGCCTGGGAGGATGAAAAGGCGGGCGCTCCGTTGCAGGGATACAGAGATATCAGGTGTTGTTTTTCACTCTGGAGCCTAGTCGAATGAGTGCTTGCTACAAAGTAATTGTGCAATCGTGTTCTTTTTTGCGTAATTTTGACTGGGGCGTTCTAGTGGCGATTAAGGCGGTGTTGTATTCTTTTTTTGGTTTTGTTTTGGTCGTTGCTCGATCTGTGATTCAGACGCCCTGAGATCTGTTTTCTGGTTTGCTTGTTGTTGGTTCAAGCTCGTCAGATGTCTTTGAGTCTTTGGTATCGAATCTGACCATTGTCGTGTTCTGTATGTCCAAACAGTGATGCTTCGCAGTGAATTCTGAGGGCATGAAAGTGGATGGACCAGGGGCTTGTCTGTTTCATATTGGTATTCAGAGCCGTGCCACAGGCGTCCTGGCGGCAGGTGGAGGCCATCTCCATGCAGTTCCCAGTGAAGGCAGGCCCTCTGCACGAATCTTGGCACTCTTACTAGGTAGAACAGCCTTACCTTTGATGTGCAGCGGTTCATCAAATTTCGGACCTTTTTTTGCACATTCTATGGTGCTGTCGCTTGTCCAAAGCGTCTTACACATCCTGTCGCAATGGGGGGGGCAAAGCAAAAGGGAGTTTCATGGTGCAATTCTATCCTCTCCAAGACTAGCCTTGAGGGAGACCGATGCAAACCAAATGAAATGCACCTTCGCGTGGAGCTGCCACTGTGTGGCCAAATTTGCCAATAGAGCAACTGACTGCCGCAATTGGCTTCACGGAATACCTCAAATCTGTATACACAACACATTTTGGGTAAGTGAGGATACTGTGAAGAACAACTCATTTCTTTCACCAAGCCTGTCTCAACGTTTGGACAGTATTGACATGTCGCAGGGATACACTGGATGGTTGAAAGGAAGTTGCTCCCAAGAAGCGGACCAACATTCCAATAAGTTTTAGCGCTCACGATCCTGGGAGAGACGACTACTTTCTAGAACGGATTTTGTACATGCGCACATAAGCAGAATCTGAATTTCAGAGCCAACTGTGAGGCATGTTTGCTGCAGCTGCAGCCTCCCGGCGAGGCCTCATGAAAGAAGAACTGTGCTGTATTGCTGCGGAGCAGCCCAACTTTGGCTGGTTACTAGTGCAAAAGGTCTACTTTCAACTGGAAGCGAGACAATTGCTTAGAAGATCGTTTGAGTAGCGGCTTGCACAAGATCCTGAGGTCCAGTTCAAGTTGAATCAAGTTGAATTCCTTGATTTGCAAGCCGACCAATTCTGCGTGGAGCGGGGCTGCTTAGGTCATGTTGCAGAGCCCTGAAAGGTGGGGGTGGCAAGGCAAGCCTTGCAAGCACTCATATTTTGAGGAGCACGGCTTCCACATGTTGTAAAGTGCCTTGTGTTAGATAAGATGGAACATCTTGGTTGTTTAGGCAATGGTAAGTTGTGCGTGGCAACACATAAGCTGTGACATGGTGAGGAGACATCCGAGTTACTTGGGATGCACAGAAGGTTCAGTCACGAGGGCTTTTAGAGGCTTCTCTTTCGTGTAATCAAGCTGGTAGATGTCGCAATTCTCAAGCGGTGCTATGTTGAGTGAAGGCAATGAACACTGCAATTGCATCAGTTGCGCCATCGAACAAGTCAGCCTAAAGTCTAACGCATTTGATCATCAACGACAACATATGTTGACATCTAGAGGGCCTTATTCACAAGAATTAACATCACTTCCTGCAACCGCAGGTTGAGCAGCTCATAAGTTTTATAGGTGAATGTCATAGGTTTATAACCCAAATTGGCCAATTGAGCTGCTCCTAGGGCCAAGCCTTGTCTTGGAGGCAACACGCGTGGTGCTAACGCCTCCTGCCAAAGCACGGCGAGTGGGCTGGGCGCAGCCCTCAGTGGGGTGGTCTTGAGACCAGGCCCACTGCCGCTGTATCCTGCAAAGAAGCCGAGCACCGACGAGTCGCCGGAAGCTTGTGCTTGGGGCACATATAAATCAGCGGCCTATGATTCAGCGGTGCGGGGTTGGGTTGTGCTTGCTTCAAGATGACTGTTCCAAGCTTTGCTTGTGCTGTTGGGGTGGAAAATGCTAGCCCTGATTTGAGAATGACAGTGTGTCTCGGAATCTCTTGGCCCTTGACCGCGGTTGTGCATTGTGAAGCACACACACACACACATGATGTATCTTGGCTAGTGGAGTTGGTATCATGCCCACCTTAACCCCGTGTCTTCCCGGCTGGACCCGACTGTACCTGGGATTTGAGCTGTTTGTCAGGTTGTGTTTGGAGCCCGGCGTTCGAGCTTAGGCCGAACTTGTTGTTACTTGTAAACCGTTGTTCATCAATCCTGAAATGTGTGCGTGCTTTGGCGTTGTGCAAATGTATTCCTCGGGAAGGGAGCTCAAGAGCACAACGCCTCTTCAACATCACAAATCCAGTGACATTATCCTTGGTGTTAGCTCAAGGCACTAGGTGTTTGATGGACCTGCAGCCAACTAGCAAGGCATCAGGCAAAACAGCCAACAACTCATTCGGATGCGCGCATTGGTCGACAAGAAGCCAGTCCAAAAGCAATCTGCGACTGTGGCTGATTCTCACGGGACTTAGGCACACTGGCATGCGGACCCTTTGCAGGCAGGGTGTGTGTTTCACTGCTTCAGGAAGCACTGAGTCACCGAGCACAGCGGAATATCAGGATGGATCAAATCCTGGGTCTGCCGTTTGCCCATGCTGGCATGACTCTGAACACTTGTTGAGCAGCTTTTAGAGAGAATCGGACTCGGCTTAGCTTGTAGGACAGCTCTGATTCCAGGCGTTTAAAGTCCCCCTGAGTGATCCATGAAGGGGGCAGCCACATAGATCTCACAAGCAACTGCCACTTTGCTGCGTGTTTTTTTTGGGGCAAAGCATTGCGCATTTCTCCTGGAGTCCTGGAGGCTCTGTCCAATGCTCAACATGTTGGCCATTCTGATGGTCAAAATCCGGGCCTCCAGGTACGTGTTTTCAAGTAAACTCCAGCCTTTCAGACTGTGGAGTCTGGTCTGAGGAGTAGGTCTATTTAGCTGAGCCCTTGGGCAGTTCTCACAAAGGCCTTGAGGTGATCGAAGACATCCGACTTCAGGAGCCTCTGCGATGCGGCAGCAGCAGCCTAGGCCCAGTGCTGTCGGGGCCCTGGACCAAATTGGCAGCGACCGTCCACCCGCTCTAATCTCAACCATATGCAAACACGCCTATTACTGCCCGTTGTCCAGCTTGGAGCTGGCGAGTCGCGCGGAATCCAGTAAAGTACATACTTGACCGATCAAACCTTCGCTGAGGCAGGAGTTTCGACGTTTTCCCAAGGTGAGTCTGTATCGTCCATCACTGGGCTGGGATGAAGACAACCTGCCCGCAAGCGCTCGAAGACAGGCCACTATCATCTCAAGAAGCGACAACAAATACTCGACTTTGGGACGCGATCGGCCTGGCAGGACAGCGAGCCTCAGCATCCATGTTTTTTGTTTTTTCTTTTTTCCTTTTTTTCTTCTTCTTATTCTCTTTTGTGTGTGTGTGTGTGTGTTTGTTTGTTTGGTTGTATTGTTTGTTTGTTTGTTTGTTTGTTTGTTTGTTTGTTTGTTTGTTTGTATCGCATTGTATTGTATCGTATTGTATTGTATCGTATTGTATTGTATCGTATTGTATTGTATCGTATTGTATTGTGTCGTATTGTATTGTATTGTATTGTATTGTATTGTATTGCATTGCATTGTATTGTATTGTACTGCATTGTATTGTATTGTGTTGTTTCTTTTTTTTGTTTTTGTTTTTGTTTTTTGTTTGTTTGTTTGTTTGTTTGTTTGTTTGTTTGTTTGTTGGTTTGATTGATTCTTGGTTTGTTTGTTTGTTTGTTTGTTTGTTGTTCGTTTGTTCGTTTGTTCGTTTGTTCGTTCGTGCACGTGCGTGCGTGCGTGCGTGCGTGCGTGCGTGGGTGGGTGCGTGCGTGCGTGCGTGCGTGCGTGCGTGCGTGCGTGCGTGCGTGCGTGCGTGCGTGCGTGCGTGCGTGCGTGCGTGCGTGCGTGCGTGCGTGCGTGCGTGCGTGCGTGCGTGCGTGCGTGCGTGCGTGCGTGCGTGCGTGCGTGCGTGCGTGCGTGCGTGCGTGCGTGCGTGCGTGCGTGCGTGCGTGCGTGCGTGCGTGCGTGCGTGCGTGCGTGCGTGCGTGCGTGCGTGCGTGCGTGCGTGCGTGCGTGCGTGTGTGTGTGTGTGTGTGTGTGTGTGTGTGTGTGTGTGTGTGTTTGCGCGTGTGCGGCATGACTGTTGTAAAGTATGAAGATCCTTGAAACCAGACATTCTTCACTTCGGTTGCCGAGTTGTCTTGATTCATCCAGAATTTCGCTGTGTTGCAATGCTCATTACAGGTGAACACATGGCACAGGTTGCCAGAGTCCATCAAGAAATAAATACTTGGTGAGTATACATGGCCAACTGCGCGTGCCTGCCATTGCTGGAGATCAGCTGCCGCAGGTCTTGGCTTCTGATGACTTGGAGGCCACTGAGATGCTTCCTTCCAGCGGGTAGCTGCCTCAGTGGAGAACGGAGATGCGGTCATGGTGCTTGGTGGAGCGGATACAAGGACCTGCTCAAGACAAATAGAAACCAGCTTCTCGATCTGTTGGTGGCCGAAAATTACTAGTGGCATACCGTGACATTTGTTTTAAGCACTGGTTGGCGGTACGCAGCTTCCTCACTCCTAAAAAGCGCGAATTGCGGTGATGTGATGCACATGTTGAGAACACCTCTTCTCATCACTTGAGCAAGCTGCAATGTGCGGGCCTTGTGCCTAATTACACCTGCTAGATCCAGACCGCCCAGATAGTTTCATCAAAACCAAGGTGGCACAGGCTCTCCCTGACGGCAGGTAGTCTGTGGAGGAACCTGGCGCTTTAGGCATGATTTCACAGGAAAGCAAATGCTGGTTGTGAATTATGGTTGTGCTTATTTTTGTGACCCAGCTTGTCCTCAATCTGGATTCGACCCAAATGGTCGCGGCAGGGGTTGGCAAAGGGAGCCTGTTGCGCGGTTGAGGCCGAGGAGTCGTTGCGCGGCTGGCCGAGACCCCGCATTTGGGAAGTGATGTGTATTAGGAGTGCCGTCTCACAGACTTGTTGTGATTCTTGGAATGACCCTGTTTGCTGCTTGACGTTGGGAGAGCGTGAGAGCACGTGGTTTCCCGCGGGGGGTAGGGTGTCTGTCACGGCTTCCCAAAGGTGTTGCCCTTGCCGCGTTCCAGCACACTCCCGGTGGACTTCCGGCTGGAGGCGCGCTAGACGCAAGTTGTGTTTGCTTTTCGCACAAGGTATATACCAGGATAGTCCAGTCAAGCTGCATCCGTGTTCAAAGACTTTAGAAAAGAGACTGCTGTCGCAATTGAGCGGATCGAGTGTATATACATGTATAGTTATGTGTATAATATGATTTCGTCAATGTTTTCTTGTGGCCAGCATTGATGCCTACATGACATGCTTTCAGCTGGATTGCAGCCTGTCAAAGAGGAGGAGTTGCTCATGTGCACTGTAACACGGCTCACTTGTAACATCAGGGTTTACGTGGTTTGTGCGTTGCTGGCATCAAGCAATACACGTTGATGAGCAGTGTGATCCTGATTATTAACATACAGAGCATTTCACATTTGCCTAAAGAACTATCTTGCTGATTATCTTTGTTTTGGCGACCTGCCGCTGGTTGCTGTCTGTGGGAACTATCACAAACCTCCACCGGGACACAGGTTGATTTGGGACGCCCTGCTTCCTTGTAAATGACATGATCCAGGCGGCATTTCTTGGCTTTTTGCATTCTGGCATCTAAAGCTTTCCAGACTTTTGCGGAGTGGCCTTGACCCTACTTGCAGAGTTTCCAGTTAGTATGTGGCAGTCGTTTTGCTTTTGTGGGCTTGTTGGGGGGACTTCTGCGGGACAGCGCGTCCAGCCAGGCAAATGCAACATCCACGGGCTGGTCGGGACCTTGGTTCAATCCTTTGGAGTGACTGTTTCTGCCCCAGTTCAGCTGGGCCACCTGAACATCTCGTGTACGCTTTGCAAGACGTTTTTGGTTCTCATGACGCAAACATACGAAGACCGCGACTCGGCAAGCCTTTCAAAGAATGCAATAACTTTGTGGTCTCAATGGGCCAGATATTCATTGAGATTTCGATTCTACAGCCCTACTTTAGATAGTACCTCTTTTCCTATTGCAGGTGAACCTGTGTGTATTTCAACACACACACACACGCATTCGTTGGAGCAACCACTAGTGAATGACCTTCTCGGCAAAGTTCTGATCTCCAGAACATTGGCCCTACCCAGAGTCGTTGACTCTGCGGGCGTGTCATCGACCGGGCAGAGGCACTTCTCTTGTCCCTGGCAGGGGTGTAGTGTATTCCCAGGCACTTCCCTATGGTCTCTTGGGCCAGGCGCACTTCCTCCATGCCCCAGCTTCCGAGGGCTAAAACACAGGCATGTGGCCGGGCTGTTTCACGCTCCTTGTCTGAGGGCAGCGCCTTTGCTGCTGGCCACAGCGGGTTCCTCTGAGGATGTGAGGCGCAGAGCACGCCCTTTGTTGATTGACTGATTTGGGTTCAAGCAAGATACAGTACAATTGGGTTGAAGTTAGGTTTCCTGCTTGACGCTTTTGTTGATTCACAATGATTTGACAGATGCGATTCTCACAAACAATGCGGGGTGTGAAGTTCGAACCACAGCGTGCACTGGCGAGTGGGATTCGAACTCGTGGCGTCGTTGCTTTAGTGCTTCCTGGCACAAGGTATGACACGTTACGCACATCCATCTTGAGCTATGACGATCCCCCTTGAATATCATTTCTTCACCCTGCTCAGGATTCATGCAGATTGCTTGTACTCTCTGGTGTTTTGCACCGTGTTCCCCGTATACAAAAACCACAACTTCTGAGAAGTTGTGATTAAATTAACATCCAGTCTAGCGGGAAATGAATCAGCACCTTGACTAGCAGATGATTTCGGATACCAGCGACGCAATATGCGGAGGAACTGAAATATGGTCTTGAGCTCACTCTGAGTTCATAGCGGGCTTGTATCCCCAGACCTGCGTTGCACCTCGAACTTGTCCCACCGAGTGCCAGTGGTGCAATGCTGACTGCTTCTAGTCGATTGGTGGTTGCCAACATAGGCGTTGGCAGTGGTCATCATGATATCACTATATGTTTGCTTGTCATCGTGCCGCTCTTTCTTATCATTGTTTTGAGGGCAGCTTGGTACCTGTTGCCATGTGCAATAGAATAATTGGATCCACCTGGCCACCCCATGTTAGCTGGTGGGATGCGCCAGGGTCCCAGGGTGATGAGAGAAGATTTTCGTCGTCATTTGCCACGAGATCCCAAAGCCATGAAGTCACCTCGATCAATTGTCATCTGAGAGCGAGTCTGAAATTTGAATTGACACATTTGGCCCACAGCCGCATGGTTGGATTCCAGCAAGTTCTACGTCCTTCTACACGTCCTTCATGTCCTTCGTCCTGAAATGGCATGTGACGTCCAATTTCCGTGGCCCTTGCCTTCAGGATCGGTGCGCTGCTACATGCGCCCAAGCCCGGCAGCCTGAGATCGCTCACGGGATTTCTTTGGAGGGACTGACGCTTCCTGTTCCGAGTGTCAGAAACGCTTCCAGTCCTTAGACCTTGCAGTCCTTAGACCTTGACCTTGCAACACGGGGGAAGCTCAGAAACTCGTTTCTATGACTGATGGCTCAATTTCATTAAGGACACTGAAGCCATAAGTACTGCTGTGCCCGCCTTTCTGATTTTGGCCAGCCATTTGCTGGCAAGCGCCTCAGGTTCGGACTTGACATTAATCTCCTCGCTGTGGTTTGCTCCCAGCCGCTACAGGGCTCAACGTCGCGCGCGCCGTTGCTCTACCACGCCCGCTATGGCTCTTGCACACTTGGCCTTCCGCCGGGCTCTCCGCCGAGGAAGCCGTGGCTACCACGCTGCTGTCCATGATCACTTCACCAACCCTCGAAACGTTGGCAGCCTCGACAAGGACGGGTTGGCTCTCTAACACACTTGTAGTTGCTGGTTCAAGATCCACCCAAGGCTGGAATCAATGAAAATAAATGAATTCGGGTCGAACTCCCAAATCCAGACCATCAAGTCACATTTGATTGACATAGAGCCGTCTATTTTGCTGCATTGTTTGTACTTGTTGATGGTATGTGGGGCAGAGCTTGCTGCGAAAGCAGATCTCATTAGCTTTGAGCCCAAGAAACACCGGCGGCCACCAAGAAATATCCGAAAGAATCGCAGTATGTTCAGCTTGTTTGAGGTCCCCAGCTTTTAAGCGATGACACAATCCCCTGCTACTGACGAATTACAGTGGCTTCCAACCGGTGGTTGCATGCAGCCACGCAAGACTCCAACAGAAATGCGGATGAACAGGCTTGCGTTGGTTGGACTTCAAGCTGCTTCAACAGCTCACAGATTGCGTCAGCCACGCGCGGTGGCTCTCAGGCTGACAAACATGTGGGCACGGCCTTGGTGGGCAAGGCCGCCTGCGGCGATGTCATCAAGCTTCAGGTGAAGGCGGGGACTCGGGGCTCACTGACTCAAACTGACGAGGGAACCCTTCAAGGGAGCTCAGAATGCCAACATCATGAGAAAAGCACACACGCACACACACACACACTCACGCACCGGAGGAAACAACATGGACAAACAACTGCGAGAACCTCCGATCCATTTGTAGGTGCACCTCACAGGGTGCCCATGCCTGGAAAGGCCCCGGTGAGCAGCATGTAATGATTGATCACTTTCTTGATACCTCTCTTTTGTTAGTGCGGCTGTTAGTTTTGGCGGGGGATGTGGCTGAAGCGAGATGTCTTTGTCTCTGAGTCCTACCTTATGTGAGCGTGCATTGTCCATTTCAGTGAAGGGCTTCTTCCGCGTTCTAGTTCAATAGGTGTGCCCATATCTGTTTTCACCATCTCGCTGATGGCAAGCTGCAACTTCAGAAAAGGAGCTTGTGTCCAGTGGCCCCTGAAACTCAACCGCGCGAGAGCGGACCTGTACGTTCTCATCAAATCCTCTCCTCTCATTCCCAGATTTCAATTCTGGCCAGATAGCCCAGGACTCGGGAAAGTTCAGCATCTTGGGCAATTGCACAGCCGCATTGTGGCAGAACGTGAAGACGTGCGCAACACACTGACAGAGACAATCATCAGTTAAATTGTTTGCCTCGTGCTTTTTTTACTGGTTAGCCAAAGACAAAAGAATCGCATGCAGAAGTTTCCGTATTGCAGGTGTTTCTGTGCGTGTCCTTGCTAACCGTCCCTCTCTTTTATGTGTGGGTAGGTGGTTGTGTGGTTGTGTTTTGTGTTGGTCGGTTGGGTGAGTGGGTGGGCCGGCATGACATAAGTGTCAAGCTTTGGCCGTCTGGGGATGTTGTGCTGAAATGGAAATTGGCCAAAAGCAGAGGTTCACAATTTGGAGGGGACTCTTCGTATTATTCCGTCCCAGCATCCGACCGTTTGTGCTTCCCAAGCCAAAAAAACCTTTCTACAGGTGGGCGATGACGGCGTGATCCAAGATGCAAAGTTCAAGACCTTTGGTTGCGGCTCTGCCATTGCTAGTTCCTCCTATGCGACAGAGAGGACAGAGTTCTGCAATCATGCTGAACTTGGCTTGATGGGTTGGCATACAATTTCGTATGTTGTTTGCTACTGGGAAGAATGCGAACAGATCGGAGTGCATCAGAGTGGCTGTAGATTGGAATGTGTTGTTCAAGCTGAGCAGATACAGGCCTTGTTGAGAAACAGGACAGCTTTGACACCTCAATTCGTTACACAAATACAATTCAACATGTCTAACACACCATGCTGAAGTTGGAGCAGTCCGGTGCTTACTTGTTGGACGTGTACGACTGTACGTCATGAGAATGCATTTGGATATTTCCACTGACCTCCAATCTGCGACTGCAAGGATTATTGGCCAAAGTATCGACGAGGCTGCGGGGATTAGGAATACAGAGTCTCGGCAGCGCAATCTGATTGCCCGAACGTTTCAGATCTGTTGTTGTCCACAAGCAAAGGAATTTACAGCCGTTTGCTTGTAATTGTCCTTTGAAAGTTCGCAGAATTCGACTGCTACGAATGCAAGCGGTCATAGGGCAATCTTTAACGGTAGAGTTTGCGCCCTTCAGTCCAGGTCAGTCAGCAAACAGACAGTGCATTGGGTGGGATGGCTTTTCCGTTAGCTAAGGACATCTCCTCGCATTTGAAGTTGCCTCCGGTGAAGATTCACTGCTCGGTGTTGGCCCAGGAAGCCATTCAGGCAGCCATCAACGACTACAAGAGCAAGAGGAATGTCGAGTAAACGCAGGTTCTTTGCGAAGGCCGCTCTTCAACTGAGAACCTGCTAGACCAATACCGTATGGTGCCGATGGAAATCTGACACACCACACAGCAGATGCATTCTCCTCTGGATGCAGTGTGTTGAACATAAATCATGCAGTCTTACGGCTGGTTTGAATGATCCCGCAATCTTCAGCTACAGTTCAGCACCTGCCGGAGCCAAACTCACTGGCAGTGCTAGCTGACCTTCTTGCGGGCAGTGTTTTGACCCAGTTCGCAACAATAGGAACACAATGCGGGTATGACAATTACTGACTTACTAGGTGGTACCCAGGGACCACCTTGCCATGACTGAACAGTTTGTTACGTGAAAGTTTGATCGTGAGAACTGGGGATCTCAGCCGTACCTTCCGTCCTGTACAGAAGGCGATGTGGGAGGCTATCTCTAAGCTCATAGAGAGGCTGCCTCAAGACACGAGTGGCAGTGGCTATTGTACATATCGGCTACTGAGCACGAAAAAAGGATGTCACTGGGCTCTGTCGGGCATGCTTGCGGTTGTCTGCGTGCGGCCACTATGCGTTCGGCCCGCCTCACATTTGGGGGGCAGGGCGGCCGCGTTTGGTCCCTCAGTCTCGATCCTTATTGGTCCTTTTCGGTGATTGTCCAAATGGGACTCCCCTTTGCAGGCTCAAATGTCGTTGAAGACGGTTTCCAGGCAACCGAACAAGTTATTGACAAGTAAAAGCAAGTTGAAGATTGATTTAGCGTTGGCTTAGTATTTGTTTAGTATTGGTTTAGCATGGGCTGCCGAATGTGGCTGGATTGGGGGTCAGAGTGGCTTAGAATCGGATATTTGGGGACTGGAATTTTCGGTCGACACACTTTCAACATCAACTCATCAGGGGAAGGGATTACAGGGGTCCCAAAATGGGGTTGGGGTGGCCAAAGAGAAGTTCCAGGAAACTCACGTCCCTGTGGGGTATGTTCGGCATTTGGCTCCCAGCTCTGGGCCTTCATAGGCTCTAGCCAGTCAGCTATCTGGCTTTGAGGCGCCTGCTAGTACCAATCAACCGCTTCCAAACATTAGGCTGGTATATCCACGCTTGCACGTAGCCGATGGCTTTGATATAATACATGTATAAATATATATATATATACACATACATGTTTTTTTTCTTCCCTTTTTCTCTGCATGTTTTTTCAACTTGCGAGGGACCAAGTATGTGTGGCCCACTTTGCATTTTCTGTGATCACATGTGTTTGGCTTCTTTTCATGAACAAACTTATTCTAAGCGCAAGCGAGAACGTCCTGTGTAGGCAGGGCTCCTGGGCATCGGAGTCTGCGGAGAACATCTGGGCCCCCCGCTTTGTGTCTGAGGAGGCGACGACTACTACCCAGAAACCGTCGAGCCGTCGAGCCGTTGAGGCGTTTAGCAGAGTGAAGATGCAGAGGGTGATTCGGTGATTCTTATTGAGGGTGAGTTCTTGTTTCGAATTGGTCCTTTTTGAAACTAGACTGCGTCTTGGCAATGGAGGAGGGCGTCTCGGAGCCATTTGTTCGTTGGGTCTCTTCTTGTGAATCAAGCATGACCACCAAACGACAGATCTGACAACTGCGAGCAAAAACGAGCAACACCAGGCGGTTGAGGATTCCTGTGGGCCAAAGACAACGCATCCGCATGCGTATCCATCCCGCTAAGTTTTCCAGGACTTAAAATTTGATTTGCTTGCCCGTTCAGATTTTGACCAAAGCGAAGAACAAACTTCTCCCGTGGCAGAAGTTGAGGAAGATAGCAAACGTAGACATTGCCTTAGATTCTCGAAACTGGTTACATCTAGCAGAGGGTGATGCAGCCTTCGCATTGTTGCCCAGTCTCGCCCGGTTTCAGCAGTGAAACGACGTGCAAAAGTCCTTCCGCCGGCCTGTGTGTTTCTTCACGTTGGCTTAGCAGCCTCATGTTGCTTGCGACATTTCAATAACTGCTTTGATTACACATTTCCTCGGCAACCCTTGAACAAGTGAGATCTTTGTGCTGTACTTTGTCTTATATCCCCACTGCTTTTGCAGCGGAAACCCAACTGCCAAACTTCTTCAACTTCTGCTTCAGCAAAGACCTCGATTCGCATTGCGCAAGCTGCCAGGAGGAGTTCGCAGTCTTTGCAGCGGCCCTCAGCTTCGGGGATTTTGTGACAGCCTACACATTGTCCACCACCACACAGCATGCATTTTGTTCTTCCAGAAGACTAATTCCCGTCTAGATCCCCCCATCGGGAAAATCCATATAGAGCCTTTGTCTCAAGCTCAGGGAACTGCTGCCTTGATATCCTAGTGTGGTTCAATTTTCCGTTCCCTTGACGATGGTCAAATGCGGCGTGCCCCGGCCTGACAGACAGACAGAGCCAGTGGAACAGTGCCGGCATGCTATACTTTCTTGAGATCCAGCTCTGAAACGCTCGTTGGGTGTTGCAAGGCTTCTTTTTTCCATCCCGTGGAAGACGTGTATTGTGTGGATATCTTTTTCCTACTTACGGGCCTACGGGCCTTGACACACTTACCCGTCTTGGCTCGAGGCGCTCGGGTATCCAGACCTTGAGCTCGTGCTGGAGGCCACCCGTTGTGAGACGTCTTTTCTGTTTTTTTCGCAAACCGCAAACCGCCGATCGCTTGGTCCACGGTTGGCCAATCTATGGCGAAGCAAAGCTTGGTAGGGATTGCGACCGACTGGCTAGTTTCTGTTTGTGAGGGTCAAAAGGAGCTTTCCGTGGTGAAGGTCCCTTGCGCTTTTGTAGGCTTTAGAATGTGTTTTAGAATCATTACATTTTGCTCAATGAAGTGAGAGCCTGTGTGAAGTTTGTCAATACATCGCGAACTGACAAACCACTACTCCACCAAGCTATGGTAGGCAAGAGCAGTTCTTCAGTGCTTTGTGCACCTTTCTTAGGATCTTAAAAGCCGTGGTGTGAAGTGCCAACAATCCTTTGCTTTTGACGCAAAGAAAGCCTAGCGAGCAAAGTCGGGACAGGTTGCCATGCCCCAGGTGCGGGGCAATGTTTTCTCCTTGCTGGCGGAGCTTTTCCGAAGCTCGGCTGAATATGCTCAGAGACATGTTGCTTTGAGCTAGCCAAAGTCAACAGCGACTCAGGAGCAGGATTCTGGACCGAAGAATAACATATATCCACGTATGCTTCTCATGGCAACGTCTTGGGCATGTCACGTTACTTCAACATTTGTAACTGTGTGCTGACTAGTATCCTGCCCTGATTCGCAGAGAAACACTGTACCACACATCATAGTCAAACCCGACTCTCTGATGCTGAGTCACAGCCCATGTTTGCAAATACCTCCGCTCCTTGCTGGTTTTTGCTCAGGTATTTCTTATGGACGCTGCGCATGCTTTGTCAGCTTGCATCCTTGTTGTATTCCGAGGTTTGCTTTGTACTCAGCCTCAGCTCCATGTAGTGTTGGGTTCGTGCTTGGCAGCAGTAAACATCAATCAATGCTTCTGCAGGAAGTGACAACGCTCATGTGTATGAGCCGCTGGTTGCATATAGAGGCCATTGATGAGCAGCGCACCTCTAGTTGACTTTTGTGAGTCGGTGAGTGAAGACCAAACACTTGCTCAGCGGCGCATGGCAAGTAGTTGCAATCTGCGGCTGGCATGTTTCCTTTTCAATGCAGAGAACTTGCTTTCTCTCAATGTTGAAGTGAAGCCCATCAATTGCAAAATCTCAGCTTGTTCTTTTCCGGGTACTAGATAAAACGACCGAAAAGTACGGGCCGGTGACGTGCTGAGTCAGCCAGTCTGCCCGTCTATGCAAACTAAGCGCTCCGCAAGGCGCTCACCTGGGCCGCCTCAGCGGCGCCTGGCTGGGCGCCTGCGGCGCCTGGAGTGCCGGAGGGCCAAGTGGCAAAGCGAACAGCTGGAAATCCGACGGGGCTTGGCACATGTCTCTCTGAGTCTCTCCAGAGTCTGAGAGAAGCGGAAAATAAGAAAGTGCTTGTGGCGGTTGGGAAGCATCGTGACAATGTTGCCTTTTTTGTGTGTGTGTGGGTGGATTGCAATATGCACGATCCGACCTTTGTGCTAACCAACCCCCTGCAGCCTGTTGCTGATGCACCGTCGTCGATCAACTTGTGCATATCCACCAGTTTTTGAGGGCCCAACATCCAGGCGGGAGTCTTAATTGCTCATAGAGGGATCGACAGGCTTTGGGACTCTTTGCAAGTGTCACATCAATAAATTGCAGTGCATACAACCAGTGATTGCCATGCATGACAAGTGTGTTGAAAGAAAGCACACACACAAAGAAGAGCAGAAGTCACGTACACAAAGAAGAGCTGTTTGGGATATACGGCTACCATCTGGATCGAGGGCGTTTTCTGTGATACAGTGCAGGACACAGCACATGGGAGGTAGCATGGTCATTCCATCGCAGTGCCAAAATCAAGGCTACCTCATCTGAAAAGTCTAAATGCTTCGGGGCAGCAACATTTTCATAGACCACACGGTTACTTGCCACCGCACGAAGGCCAACGGGACTTGCATACCCGAATGCAACAACCAGTCAGCAATTCGTTCAGCTGAGCCAGGAGTATATCTTCCAGTAAAGCAGCAAAGCAGGTCATAATTCATGGCCCTAGGCAGCCAACTAGCCGACCAGCCAACCAGCCAGGGCCAGGCAGGGAGGCGGCCAGGTAGGCAGCCGGCGAGGCAGGCTGCCGCGAGGCAGGCGCAGGCAGTTCTCGCGTGGCTCGACCTAGGCTGCTGAGCTTGCCAGGCGGGTGGTTCTGGCAAATCGGGCAGTTTGGACTGATCCTGTTGATGTCAATCACTCCAGACGCGCCCATTGATGGCTTAGGGGCGTACTCGCCGACTTTATGCACCCACTAAAATCATTGAGAATCCAAATCATCAGCCAAGCTTTTGAGGCCTTTTCCAACTTGATCAGACCCCTGATTTTCAATGGAGAACTATCAATAGCTATTTTTCTGTGTGTTGCCTCTGGACAGCAACCTGGGTGTTTCACAGTTTGAGAAGATGAAAAGGTACTTTCAGTCATGGGCAAATCTGAAACGTTTCTCAGCACGTTGTGGCACACGAGACCAATGGGTTCAACAAATGTCATCCCTCAGACCCATTTTGGGTCAATGAGAGGGTGGTGGGGGAAGCTTGCGATGAGGAGATCGGACCAGTGTCCTTGGGATGCATGAAACCATGTGTGCAACCTTTCGGGCTTGAACCCCCGCACAAACAATAGAACAGAGGGCTGGTTTCTTCCAACATATGCTTTTGTTTTC